AATTAGTTAGACTTGACCGGATCTTGGGCGGCCGTAGGGGTTGCGCTGTATTCCTTTGTGGTAGACATGTCCAGAATGGTCCATAAAAGGCCAAAGACACGAGCACTCAGTACTATGACGTAGTATGTGTGGCCTGCCACTAATGACCTCCATTTGGATCACAATTATTCCCCAAACTCGGCTCTGGGTGGGTTTGACAGTACCAGGAAATCAATACCTGTTTGCAGGACTTGTGTTGAATGCTAGCATTTCAACCCGTTGCCAAAGGGATCAACGGGGGTCGTGAGGTACATTCTTTTGAACACGTCATGGGCTAATAGATAATTATCCGGTATTGGTGGTGGTTTTTTCTGCTGATAGAAACTTTATTTTTAAGTCAAAAGCATTAAATTGTATCTAGATTTTTTTTATCGTCTTATATTTTTTCAACTATATATTAAAATTAGCTATTACGAACCGGGTACATAAAACTTTCAGCCCATCAATGGTCCTATAAATTTTATTATTTTTTAAAAATTGTTTCGTTACATGGGCGCCGCAGAAACCTTTCTAGGGGGGGGGGCAGAAAATCGATTAACTTTCCAGGGGGGGGCAAAATTTTTTTAGTACTCTTTTAATGTAGTTTTAATTTACTGTAGCGTATTTGTATGGCGAACGAACTGACAGGACATCAGCTTAGTTACTTTCTCTTTATTTTCTCTTTACTTTAATAATTTTTTTTTCTATTTTTGTCTAAATTTTTTTTATCCAATCAATCCAAGGGGGGGGGGGCAAGTGGCCCCCCCCTGCGGGCGCTTATGTTTCTTTAATATATTTTTAATTAATTTTCAATATGTTAACATGCAACTTTGAACCCATTTATATTCATAGATTTTTTAGTTTATTTCTTTTTATTTTTTTTTTACTTTAATAATTTTTTTTTCTATTTTTGTCTAAATTTTTTTTATCCAATCAATCCAAGGGGGGGGGGGGCAAGTGGCCCCCCCCTGCGGGCGCTTATGTTTCGTTAATATATTTTTAATTAATTGTCAATATGCTAACATGCAACTTTGAACCCATTTATATTCATAGATTTATTAATTTAATATATTATTATCAAGCTTTGATCTCGCAAAAATAAAAAAAAAATTATTTGGCTGCCAAACTTGTAGTTAAAAAGTCAGAATTGAATTATTTTTCAACTTCTAACATTTACTGCTCTGGAATCTCAAAGCTATAATACAATATCTTTGACTGCTTGTTGAAATCAAGCACTTCATTAAGAACATTTGACCTGAGAAAATCCATTGAGCGTCTGAACAATGGATGCCATTATCCTACTACTGAGCCATGCTGTAGTTAACCTGAAGCGTCTGACTCGCTAAGAGTTTCCTTTGTTGAATTCAATCACTAGCAAGAACCAGGATTTCCCCCCGTTTGATTTCAAAATAGTTTTAACAGGATTATTGAACCGAGCTAGTGGCTTACTTAAATAAATCTCCCGTCGTTCGGTATAAAGGCAAATATAACAGTCACAATGAAAGTGACGTTTTTCTGTGTTTTATTTTAGTTTTTTAAAATAAAAAAAAACCAACACATTCTTAACTTTAAAAACCTAAGCAAAAGTTAGATTACTAAGAGAATTAGCTCCAATTAGTAGGGGCTTAAAAGCTACCTAAACTGACTTGACTCGCGTAGGGACTCACACTGCGACTCTGTGGCCCGGCCGTCGAAGCAGTCCAACAACTGTCAGCGGCTTCCCCCAGATACAAGGAACGGGCTGGAGAGTTGAAAACGGGTAACCTGTGTTAATAAATTCCTTTACGCCGATGCCTACCCGACGAGGCAAGCCTTTGTCAAAAAAGCCATGGTCATAAAGCCCATCTAATGAAGCAAGCGTTGTCAAAATAGCCAGGGCCATAATGCCCACCTAATGAAGCAAGCAGTTGTCAAAAAAGCCATGGTCATAAAGCCCACCTTATTAGGCAAGCCGTTATCAAAATAGCCAGAGACATGAGAGCGTAAGCTTGACCCAACAAGAGAATGTCATATATTTAGTTGGGGTTTATCAGAAGAAGTCGATCGCGGAAAGCAAAAACTTTGTTAGCAATTATTTTGCTTTTCATTTTAATATTACATTCCCCCCCCCCCTTTTTCACTCACGCATTAAGACGATTGAAGACCTGGTAAAATGATGAAGACATCATCATCCAAAGCGCATTTTTAAGAGCTAAGACTCTAGAGATATTCTACTCTATAACAGTATTCAAGTTGGTGTAGGTAAATTAAAAAAAAAAAACACGGGGGAAGCTTGAAATAGAGAGTAAATGATATCGTTGGAGGTGGACGCATTCTTTAGAAAGCAAAATAAAAACTAAAGAAAGAGAAAACGAAACCAAACTTATCAGAAGTTGGCTTATTTTTTTTTATATTTAATTTTTATTTTGAAGAGGAAAGAAAAGAAGTCAAAAATTTTTTTTCTTAATTAACATTTCATTTTTAAATATTGAGAAAACATGTTTATAAAAACAAGCTCTTATTACATTGAAAAAAAAAAATTATAATAATTTTTTTTTTAGCCACACCAGGAAGTTCTTACAGGTAATTTATCATGTCTCCAAAAATTAAAGTGTAGACGCCGAAAATGGAAGTTAATATTTTCAACATCATGATGCAAAAAAATTCATCAACTTATCGATCAACTTATAAATTTCATTAATTTCTGCAATGATCTAAGTTTAATGCCAGGGGCGCTGTCAGTGGTTCATTAGTCCTGACACTATGAAGTTTGCTGGAGTCAACTTTAACACGTTATCTGACAGTACAGTGAGATTTTTGATGACACAAGTGCATCATCGCACGACATTAATTACTTATCAGAAACAATAGCTAAATGAAATCAAACTGAAATAGCCGTTTTAGGGGATTTTAATGCCATTATTAAAAGTCTTTTTTTAAGTTATGAAAATTATTAATTTTAATTCAAGCGCTGTATTGGGAGACTCGAGTTCTACTTTGTCCAAGCCAGTGAACGAGAAAAGACGTAGCTGCAAAAAAAGAATATTTTGACAATTAAGCTGACTTTTGGATTTTCAGCCTAAGATAATCTGAGCGATATAATGATTTTGTTTTGATCACAGACTTATTGATAAATCAATTATTTTTTTTCCATTGTGTAACAGGAGGAGTGGCTAAAAACATCTGATTTGATGTTTGAGCAGTACCAGACCTTTAAGAAACGGCAGCAATTAATTTTACATCAAAATGAGAATTTCTATTTTTTATTCAGCATGGTTTGATGCAGGAGTGTTGACAGTCAATTTTTATTCAGCATGGTGTAATGTATGTAATGTGTTTAATCACCTAATTTATTAAATTTCTTGCATTCGGTTAAGTGTTATCTTAATTAATACACAATGCAATGAAATATTTTTTTAAAAATATGAACATAGCGCATCATTTCTTGCTAAAAAAAATTTAAACAGCCATTAAAAGATGCCATCATTTGACTAAGCCCGCGCATAAGAGTTAAGAATAATTGAACAGTGCAGACTTCAGATATTAATATCTGTTGCTAACAAGCTATACTGCTTAAAATGCTAGAGGTATCACGTGTTGAAATTAATCAGCTTATTACTGAAATAATAAAAGTAAAAAGTATCATTTGTGTTCAAATTAAATATGTTAAACCATAACCTTTAATTTTGTAACTATTTCCAATTGAGTTTACTGCAAACTATTTTTTTTGGTACATTTTTTAATGGCCCGGGGGGGGGAGAGGGGGGAGAGCGAGTGATGAGTCGACGCCCCCGAAGAGGTGGTTGCCGATAAAAAGATTGAGAACCACTGGTCTAGACTGTGTGGAAAGAATGGGTAGGGACGTTTGTGATATAGGCGAACGTTGCTTTAAATACATTTTCTTTCCTTTCAAATACCCAAATTAAAAATTAAAGAACTTATGAAATAATAGTTTATTTTAGAAATTTTTTGATAAAATGCAAATTTATCAATTCTTATGTGACGTTCCACATATTTTTTTAATGGTACAAATAAAATCTGAAATCCACTGTGATGTTGACCGTCCTAGTGTGATAGATGTATTCTGACAAGAGATTTCGCCTATAGGCCTATACATTTAATAATTAAATAGAAAGTTTGTTTAAAATGACATTTTAATTATATTAAAAAAAAATTATTAAACAATTATTTTCTGTTCGAAAGTGTGACGTAATTTTAAAAGAATGGGGAGTGGGGTAGATGTGTGACAGAAAAATAATGACGTACTTAACTGACGGCCCACAACTTAAATAAAATAGTAGCAATTCATTCAACCCACCCACC